AATTTATTTAATTTAATTTGATTTCAACACTAATCATAAATGTTAGTGTGAAAGTGAAGTTAAATTTTTTGCTAAATATTAAAAAGAGTGAGTGATATTAATTGCCAGAGGGAGTACTAAAGTGCGCCTGGGGTTACAGTGCGCATCCTGATCTTCATCTTCTTCCCTCTCTACCTCACATCACAGTAGTCTCTGTCTCTCTCTCTATGGCTTTCACTTTCACTCTCACTCTCACTCCATAATAATAAATAAACCCAAACATTTTCAAACCATACTCACTTTACACTTCTCTATTCCCTCCATAATCACTTAGGTTTTTTTTTTTTTCCATTTCACTCATTTAGTGTTAAATAAAATTCACACTAATCCTTCTTATTTATGGTTTATATATAATTGTGAATTGTTCAAAAATGGATCCACCTATTATTAACGAAGGTTCATTCTCGGCGGCGAATCCTTCTTCTTACACCTTGGCTGAGATTTGGCCGTTTGCCGCAGCGGCAAATGGTGGAGGAAACGGTGAACTTGGTGGAGGAGGACTGGGACTCAGAATGAGTAGCTTTACGGGTTTATTAGAAGCGGCTGCGAACTCCATTAATGAATCTACTCTGACGGAGCAGAGTGGAAGAAGCGGCGGAGGTGGAGGAGCTGGTGGTGGTGGTGGTGGAGGTAATGTTGGTGTAAGGAAGAGGGATATGAATTCGGAGGATGATTTTTCTAAGTTTGTCTCTACTAGTGATGCTAATGATTTGGTAATTACACTACTAACTTTTTTTTTATTCCTTAAGTGGATAGATTACTGTTGATTTGACGTTGGAAGTTGTTGAATTAGTATCACGTTGCTACCATTTAAAATTTATCGTTGAATTGAGCTACTTTTACATGTTAATTATGTATGTAATTTGTTCTCTTGCTTGTTGTGTATAAACCCGATTCATTCATCCTAATTGGTGTCGATGTCAAATCAAACATGTACTAACTAAATCCTGGAGGTGTAAGTTCATGATGTATGTGCTAATTTGTGAACAATTTTTATTCGGATCAACTTTAAATTTCATAACTCTACTTCTAAGTCTTCAGCTGACGAATTCTTATCTTGATACAGTTTTCAGATTTAATGAAGCAACTTATTGATATTCATATTAATTTGAATTATGTTCAGGATGGTTCAGTGGCCAAACGTTTGAAAGCATCCCAATCTAAAGAAGAAAATGGTGCTTCAAAGGTAGAAGCAGAATCAAGTTCCCATACGGCTAACAAGGGGACTGAACAAAGTAGTAAACCTGAGCCACCTAAGGATTACATCCACGTAAGGGCAAGAAGGGGTCAAGCTACTGATAGCCACAGTCTAGCAGAGAGGGTAACGTCTTCTCCGAACTTCCCTAACTTTTAACGGTGCAAATATTTCTTGACAGTGGCTGAGCAGAATCTTAATTTATCAGGCCAGGAGAGAAAAGATCAGCGAGAGGATGAAAATTCTGCAAGATTTGGTTCCTGGATGTAATAAGGTCAGTAATCTTTTTGAAGTTATACTATTATCTGCCTTGAGCTTATGGCTAGTGGTGGATATTATAGAAGGGTGACATTTTTAATATATCTACAGAGGGGAACCCCATCAATATTTTGTGTTCTGTGTTAAGATTGAATGCATGTTTCATGTACAATTTGCATTTTCTGCTAGATTTAGTTTGCAACTTTCTTGCAGGTTATCGGAAAAGCACTTGTTCTTGACGAAATAATAAATTATATCCAGTCACTACAGCGTCAAGTTGAGGTAGTTCCTCATCTTCCCTGTATTAAAGTTGTCCTTTTTATCAACTCAAGTCATAACCTCATCCGCTCTGCTTTGCTTGAACTTTCCAGTTCTTGTCCATGAAGCTTGAAGCAGTCAATTCAAGGATGAACCACCCTATAGAAACCTATCCTTCGAAAGATGTAAGTTATTTGGTGTTTTTTATGATATTTTTTCCTTATCTAAGAAACCTGGTAGATGGAATCTGATTTATGTTGATCTAAAACACAGTATGTTCCAGCCTTCAAATTTCGGAGTTGATTATTGATTGAAAGATAAAAATTTGCTGGAGTTTCTTTTATCTGATTTTTTGTTTAATTTAGATATTGTAGAGTTGTTAGGGGAGATTGAGATGATAAATACCAGAACCAAAACTTTTGACAGTGGTAGATGTGTTTTACTGTGCTCTTTTGTATATCATATTTGTTCCTTGCTGCGGTTGAAAATCTCTATCACCCAAAGACTGGACCTAGAAGTTTAAGAAGTTTCAAGCACAATGATTATGAGAAATTATGTGATAGTCTTTCTCAAAAAGAAATAATTAAAAAAAGAGAAATTATGTGAAAGTCAAATAAAAAGTTATTGAATTAGTTGATATTGTTATCGTCCTTAAGCATCTGAAGAGTGCTTGACCTCTATGCAACCATATTTCTCGAAAGAAATATGATGCGCTCTCTCTGGTCCATGTGTGGAAACAAGGAAAGATTGTGCTCTCTTTTGATATGGACCTTTTTCATGTACCAATTTGCTATTAAACTGGTCCTATTCAGCTATCTTGAGGTTGTGTCAACAGGAAGATTCCTGCATTAGTGTCTGGAGCATTCTACGTCCAATTACATTTCTAAGGAAGCTTGTACTTTAGATTAAGGTTCATCCGATACAAAGTTCCACTTCTTTGTTGATTGGATAACAGCTGAGATTTTTCTCTGGATTGCATATGGTATCTGTTCGCATAGTTGAATTTCTGATAAATGTGCCTCGACCACTTTTTCTTGTGCTTTTTTCCATGTGTTCTTTTTGGGGCGGAGGGAATCGGTCTTGAAGTTCATCACCATTTACAATTCTTTTATTACCCAATCCTGCATTCAGAGTGATGATGTTTACGGATAAGTATTGAAAGTGAAGTATTAGCTTTTTGCAGCATTGCTAGATCTGCACTTTACCATGTGAAATTAAATGATGTAGTAATATTTAGGACAGATGTAGACATTTTCCAATAGGCTTCCATGCCATCTGGCTCCACAATAAAGTCTATGACGTACTTACTACTCTACTTCTTTTGCCCCACTTTCCCAACTACTCTATTCCTCTCAATCTTTTGTTTTGTTATGTATGATGATTTTATTATTTTGAAATTGACTACATGATTTACTCTTCAACCACGATCTGCTGTACTTGTGTGACCTTATGCGCACCATCTTGAACTACATATACTTAATGTTTTCATTCATGCATCAACACTAGACTCTATTTATCTTGACTGTATTTTCATTATCAAGTAAATCTCTAAAATACTCATATTCCTTGCAACGCAATCTAGTGCTTGATTCTTTTCATGTTTTGGTAAGTATAATTTGGGTGGAAAGCTTCTCACCACTTTATTGATTTCGTGGGTCCTCTACTTCTCTTTCAGCTAGCACCATCAGCTTTTGATACCACTGGAATGATTTTCGGCACTCAAGCACCGAGAGAATATGCTCAAGGGGCACAATCCGAGTGGCTCCATATGCAGGTTGGCAACAGCTTTGACAGAGCAACATGACAGATACCCTAATGAATTGGAACATAGATTATTCAGGAACATCATGATGTCTTTTAGAGAACCTTGGTATTGGATCCAGCAGCACTATAGAAGAACCATTCTTAAATGTGTAAATCATAATCATTTCCAGTAGAATTGTCTGTATTATCGTTGTATGATCAATGTCGTCTAACTCAAGTGTACTTGTAATATGTTTGTATTGATATAAGAAATAGACTAAGCAAACTTTCTCAGAATATAATCTTGCTCAAAGAACAGAAATTTCTAATTTCCATATTAGTCTTGAACTTTGAAGCCGGTAAAGTAGTTGTATTTGTAAAGATTGCGCCATAAATCGGAGAAAGAAAAGCAGAGGTTTGGCAGGCAGCAGAAGACGATTCTTCAACTTTATTTATAGCAGTGGACCTGTAGTAGCCAAACTACTACCCAGTTAGAGAGATCTAAAACTCAATGGGTCTACAACACTTTTAGCTTCACTAGGAAATGTTTCAGTCAGTTTAGCAATTAATAATGGGATTCAGGTATTAGTCTATTCTGATTTTCTATCGTCCTTTTTGCTCTAGGCTCTACGTAATGTGCAAGTGTTAAGGCATTTGCATTGTCTCCGAGATGAGTTGATGATTCATATACTCGTCTCCAACTTGTTTGGTAGTTGTTGTTGCTTTGTTACGAATGGATTATGGAGAACTCTAAAAGTTGATCAAATTTATTGGAACACAATTGCACAAACAAACCATTTCTACCTGAAATTGAAAGTAAAAAAGACTACACATCTATGTTACAATATTGTAGTCCTTGTAGCATAAAGACTCAATTGCATGTTAAGTAGCACTATAACAATTGATATGAGAGAGACTAAAACCTAACTGATTTTATTTTTTTTCAAAAAAAAAGTTGTTCAGACAAACTTTTTGGACAAAATAAGTGTTGTAATGGAGTAATAAAAGTTGTTTTTCAGAAGCTTTTCTTGAACACAATTTTAGAAGCTAAAATATATGTTTTAATTTTATTGGTGAAACACAAATGGCTAAGTATTTATTTAAAAATAAAATAAAAATTGGAAAAACTGACAGCTGTGGGATTTGAACCCACGCCCTTTCGGACCAGAGCCTAAATCTGGCGCCTTAGACCACTCGGCCAAACTGTCACATGTTTAAATATTCTCTGTTAAACTATATTAAACAATTAACAACACATAGTATATATCAAAAATATTGGTGAAAAACAACTCGACTCTTATTTGATGCAAAGAACAGAATGATCTTGAGTACCCAAATCAACACGTCCATATGAAAAATTAAGAATTGTTGTTGCTTCTTCTGTATTATTGATTATTATTACACAATACACACCTGGATAATCTATGTACCAGATGAAAATTTAGACAAATACACAACTAAACCTGAGAACACAAATTTATGTTTTAGGCTTTTATTTTCCATTCTGTTTTATACAATTGTTAATAGTTTATGGCACCAAGTTTTGCTTTTATACCATCAATAACACTTGCATCAATTTTGAAGGCCTTAGTCAACACCTCATCAGGAATTGGTGGCTTTGAAGTAAATAGTGTAGTTGGTAGAACCACTGCTCCTGGCAAATGACTGTTAAAAGCTGTGATTGTCATTGCCTTCTCCTTTCCAACATTCATTTGGAAATGCACTAGTCCTCGGGGTATCACGAACATTTCCCCTGCAGTCAATACTTTGGAATATAACACGTTCTTCGTTGTTAGGAATCCAACGTAGAGTTTCCCTTTAATGACTACTCCAGACTCAGTTGCACGAGGGTGTGAATGAGGTGGATTTAGCCCTCCTGGGGCAAAGTCAACTCGATTCATCGAGAGACCTAGTGTGTTTAACCCTGGGAAAGCAAGAACGTTTCCCACGGTTGCACTGAATCCAAATGCATTTTCAGTGTTTCCCTCTATGGTTAGGCCATCAAAGAAGAAGTCATCTGAAGTAACTTGGGAAGCAGGCTTGCAAGGAAAGCCGTTAAGAGATGTTGATGTATCGTTCAGAATTCCCACGCAGAAATCCTGCAGGGGATCAGGATCAGCAGAATGAGAAGGAAATGGTAAGACTATCAGAATACCCAACAAGAACATCACGCGAATAGCCATGGAATGATCAAACTTGAAATTTAAAGAATAGTGTGTGACAATGTACTAATGGCACAGTAGTTAAAGGGCTATTTATTACTCAAGCCAGCCTTGGTGACATTTCATCAGCAAGAAAGCAACATGCTAAAATCATGTCATATATACATAAAGAAAAGAAATTTAGATTGCCTTTTAACAATAGAAAAGTGCAATGTCTCAACTTCAGGAAATAGTCAATCAACTTGTTAGTAAATTTAACTTGGACATTACGACCTCTGTGAATTATTGTACTACCATTTGACAAAGCTATGATTCGTTCAACTCGTGGTTCTTCATCCTATGGTACAACATGTCCATAGAGACTTCAATCAAGAGTCTGTTATGGTCAGGGGGCCTCGTAGTGTAAGAGGGTCAAGTGACACCTACAGGTTAAGAGAAGGACTGACAGACTTCTAGGCTGACATGCTTCTGAATATGGAGTACACCGCACATATAACACCTTAAGTGAATACCACATCGAACTGTGAGAGAACGATGAAGAGTTTTACAAGGGCGTAGCCCAAAAGACAAATCCATTAAGTTTGTTAGGCCAAAGCTGACAATACGTGTCATGTGTTTGGATTGTAATAGGTCATGAAAAAAAAAGGGAAAATATTGAAGAATACTCCATCTCAAACATGGAAACATAACCACATTTTCTGCACTGAGCCATCAGTCACTATCTTCATATGTGGAGTTGTTAGAAGTTTATTCTTTCTGTTGAGTTACTAATAGTTTCCAGATATACTAATAATTATGTCATTTCTTGTTCACTTGAACACTTTATCAGCAACTTTTGACCTTGTAATTACTGAAATAGATAGGAAAGCTGACTTCTTGGATCTGTAACAACACACTTTGATGCCCAAATGAACATAATTGATGATTGATTAGGTTATTTTAATTATACATCTAAATAAAACTTTATTATACAATGACTTGTTCCATAATGTACAGAGAAACACATGTAAATACTCAAAGATCATTTCAACTAAACTAACCCCTTTTCTTTTCTCTGCGGGATATTTTTGTTAAATAGTCATTGACATTATCATCTAAAATTCAAAGACTGGAAAAAGTCGTTTACTAGCTTGATATTGATTATGATCTTGATCAATTTTATTGGGATGATTACGTTGGATATTACTTTTCCATAACGTTATTAGAATATTCCATGCTGCATATAATTTTTTTTCACCTCTAGTGCTGAATAGTGTTCAATACTAGAGGTGATAGGACTATATAGAGCCAACAAAATGCTAAGAGACTTGAGAGAATCCCATTAATGCGCTTAACCTTATTCGATTCGAAAAGATGCATTCTTGTTCAAAAATATTAACCACATCCAACTATCAATTGTATCTACTATGCCATGTATTTAAAAAATTTATGAAGAAACTGATATGTATACTTGCAACTTTATCCACTAATGTGTGAGTAGAATACAATAAATTCTAGAACGAAACATCACTCACACCCGGTGTATACATGAATCATGAGTAACGAAGAGAATGATCTGAGTACCCAAATCGACAATTACGAATGAATAAATTAAGAATTCTTGTTGCCCTTCTGCATTATTGATTATTACACAATACATACCTGGATATCTATGTACCAGATTAAAGTTTGGACAAATACACTAATAAACCTGACAACACAAAATTATGTTCTAGGCTTTTATTTTCCATTCTGTCTTTCAGCTGTTATACTTTTAAGAACCAAATTTGGATTTGATGTCATCAATAACACTAGCTTCAACCTGAAAGGTCTTAGTCAACACATCATTAGGAATTGGTGGCATAGAAGCAAATAGTGTAGTTGGAAGGACTACTGCCCCTGGCAAATGACTGTTAAAAGCTGTGATTGTCATTGCCTTCTCCTTCCCAACATTCATTTGGAAATGCACAAGTCCTCGTGGCACCACGAACATCTCCCCTACAGTCAATATTTTGGAATGTAACACGTTGTTTGTTGTCAGGAATCCAACGTAGAGTTTCCCTTTAATGACTACCCCGGTCTCAGTTGCACGAGGATGTGAATGTGGTGGATTTAGCCCTCCTGGGGCGAAATCAACTCTATTCATTGAGAGACCTAGCGTGTTCAACCCTGGGAAAGCAAGAACGTTTCCCACAGTTGCAGTGAATCCAAATACATTGTCAGTGTTTCCCTCTTTGGTTAGGCCATCAAAGAAGAAGTCATTTGAAGTAACTTGGGAAGCAGGCTTGCAAGGAAAACCGTTAATAGATGTTGATGTATCGTTCAGAACTCCAACACAGAAATCCTGTAGGGGATCAGGATCAGCACAATGAGAAGGAAAAGGTAAGACTACCAGAATAACCAACAAGAGCGTCACACGAATAGCCATTGAATGATCAAACTTGAAATTTAAAGAATAGTGTGTGACAATTTACTAATGACATAGTAGTTCAAGGGCTATTTATTTGCCAAGCTAGCCTTGGTGACATTTCATCTTCAAGAAAGCAACATGCTAAAATCAAATCATAAAGAAAGGAAATTTAGTTGAGGTTAGTTAGCCTTTTTGACAATAGAAAAATGCAATGTCTCAACTTCATCAGGAAATAGTCAATCAACTTGTTAGTAAATTTAACTCAGGGATTACGACATCTATGAATTATTTTACCATTCGTCAAAGCTACAAACCGTTCAACTCATTTCTAATCAGGTATTTCTTCATCCTAGCCCTTCCTATGGTACAACAACTCAATAGAGACTTCTGTCAAGACTCTGTTATGGTCAGTGGGCCTCGTATTAAAAGAGGGTCAAGTGACACCTACCAGGTCAAGAGAAGGACTGACAAACTTCTAGGCTGACATGCTTCTGAATATGGAGTACACCGTACACATAACACCTTAGGCGAATACCACATCCAAATGTGAGAGAAAAGTGAAAGGGTTTTACAAGGGCAGGGCCCAAAAGACAAATCTGTATAGTCGGGCCAAAGCGGACAGTATGTGTAATGTGCTTAAGTTGTGATAGGTCACGAAGAAAAAAGGGAAAATATTGATCAATTACCTTCCATCTCAAACATTTAGCTGAAAGTGTCCAAATCCTATTGGAATCACAACCACATTTTCTACAGTGAGATTGACAAGTCCATCATGTCATGCCATCAGTCACTTTCTTTCATATGTGAATTGTCAAAAGTTTATTTTTTCAATTGAGCTAGCCTTGTTAATTTAGTTTCAAGATATAATTATGTCATTACTTGAATACTTTATCAGCAGGTTTTGACCATCTAACTGCTGAAATAGATAGGAAAGTTGACTTATTGGATCTGTAACAACACACACACCTTCATGCTCAAATGAACATCATTGATTAGGTCATTTTAGTTATACATACATCTAAATAAAGTTTTATCATACAAGGACTTGTTCCATAATGTACAGAGAAACACATGTAAATACTCAAGATCAAATTAAGACAAGATCACCTCAGCTAAACTAACCCCTTTGGCCTATTCTTTTAGCTTGACTATTAGTAGAACAAAGAAAAAAAATATCAAATTGGAGGAAACTGGAGTAGTTAAACCTACCGGTGCGCGATATTTTTGTTAAATAGGCTTTGACATGGTCAACTAAAATTCTCAATCTGGAAAAAGTCGTTTATTAGTTTGACATTGATATGATCCTAATCAATTTTTATTGGGATGATACGTCCAAGTTCGTTGGATATTACTTTTTCATAACGTACTTAGAATACTTCATGCTGCATATAAATGACCGTCAATAGTACCTTGGAAAATCTATTGAATTTACGAAACGATACATGAATTTAGTCAAGTGTTTGGTTGGTAATATTCAGATAAAAGATGTAAAGATACTAAAAATACAGTACTATTTTGGAACTAGATAAACTCAACTTTTTTCAACTCCAGTGTTATATAGCATTCAAGTCAATTGAGGATTTTTTACGTTGTGTTAACGATAACGATATTAACAATAGTATATTTTCCTTGGTATTGCATAGTATGAACTATATGATCTGAGTAAGAATATTAATAATACGACATGTATTTCAAAGATTCTAGAAAGAAACTGATATGTTCAATTTCAAATTTGCCCACAAATGAATGGTTCAACTCAATTGACACACATGCTACCAAACTTTCAAAGACATTCTTGCACCAAAGTAAGCTCTTCCTCCAGATGCTATTTCTGAAGAAAACAGAACGAGCCATTTATCTTTCTCATGACATGACTCTAGAAGCAATAGTATTGATCACAAATCACTAAGGACTGATTCCATCCCAATCTCTCTCTGATGCTGCTGTGATGAGAACGGTCCTGCGGCTTGTGTAGTTATTTAAGAGCATTTTGCTCACTGGCAAATCTCTAGAGCAGCTGGACTAATAGGTATCACACCAGAAGGTGATACAAGTGCGTCCACGAGAACGTCATTTGGAGTTAGTGGTATAGTACCCTCATCCACTATTTGAACTGAGTAAGAAAGTGCAACTGCGGACCAAAGTGAAAAGTTACTATAGAAAGCAAAATTTGTTGCATGTAATCCTGGAAAGAAGCAGACAAAGAGACATACTTTTGAGAGGTTGCTTCCAATTTCTCTTCTCGGCAAGCTCTTGATATCTTGATAAAAAGGTGTCATAGTATCTGTTTTTGTCAAACCATGAAAAACAAAGGATCATCAACAAGAGGACAAAAATGTAAATTGTATTGAAGACTGACCAGGCAAAACATGTAATTACTCTTCTTCTTATTTGGTTTTTCCTTTTTGCATTAACAGTTCTCTTCCTTTCTTGTACTTCTTCTCTATCTTATCTTAATCAAAACTGTTACTTTTGCAGAAGAAGAATAAACAGAAAAAGGGATAAAACCTACCCTCCACCGCGGCCCAACCGTCTTCCAGCTTTGTCAAATGCAAGTCCTTCATGAGAGAGTAAATTTATAATTTCCAAAAGCAATATATTTACCAATTATTTCAAGCTTTGAATCATATAGCGTTTCACAAATTAATGACAGACATT